GAAAAATGCATTGTGCGTCTAGCCGCTGGCTGCTTCGATTATCTATTCCTCGTTTTCTTTACCCTTAAGGCGAACCCCATATATGCTCCCCAGTCAAAACAGTTACCTTGTTTATATTCATCTGCTCTTCGACTTCATTATTAAACGACCTAGTTGTCCTCTGCTTTATCAGCGCTACCTACGTTTGTGTACTCGTCCGTTTGCGAGCGAATACATGTTAGTTCTTCCACATCCCTATTCGCTGAGTTATCTTTAAAGGTACACTAAACTTCGTTCAAAACTTATCCTCCGACGTTAACATCAACTTGGTGATTGTATTCCCTTCGATTGTGCGTCAAACTAACTCTCGCTTTGTAGGTAGAATCTCTGTGAGTGTTTTCTCTATTGATTGTTTTTTAAATAGTACCGAGGTATTGATAATTTGCTCGCCAAAAACGTATTTCAAACCACAAGGACGGAAACGGGATACGACTTGCTAGAGTTAACCAGAATAACTACGGCCCAATATTGCCGAACTTGCTGGCGTTTACCAACCTCTGCGTTTCCTACCGACTCCCATAATAACCAAGTTTTGTGACGTACTAAACCGTGTTGACGTTGCCACTAACCTTGACTGTTTACTAGACATCTTACAGTGTACTTTGCTGCCCGAAATCTAGGAGTGCGTGTTATTTGGTGAGGCCTTTGCTAACTTCGAAAATCGAGGTGCCCAACCAAACATGTGTTCGATTCTCCTTAGAAGCATAAGCAGAAATGATCAATGAAGTAAATGCACCTTCTAAACAAATGTGTGATGTCTTTTGCTGATTATTTTCGGAAGAAAAGACAGCGCCTAACAGAGGTAACTCTTTCATCATCAGAAAGTGTTTCGCATTACTGAATCAGAATATACTGAACGTACCTGGAAATTTTTCCGCTGTGGTCATCCGTCGTTACTTTACTGGTCGATGGACAACATATTTGTTGACAAACTAATCAAGCTAATCATTATTCGTCTTATCCGGGGTTCATCCATATTACGGAATTCTAGCAACTTTGAACAGCCGATCAAGTGACACATTATTAGAGAGAAACAAGTAGGGACAAAAATCACTTATTCACTCAACAAATTATCAGGGACAAACAAGTTTCCATTGTTTGTGGGCTGGGTTTAAATATTATCCGAAAAGGAAAAAGTGTCAGGTATACTGCAAAAGTTCCACTGCATCAAAAAGTTACCGAATTACCCGTAGTAACGGTATTTTCCTCAGCTTAGTGGTCTGAGCCCCCAAGCTAGCGTTCACGTCAAAACAAACACCAAAGGTGCACAAGGTCTATCAACGCCCAAAACGAAATCAGGAACAGTTTTTAAGCGCTTCGTATATATA